AGATTAAAGCAGCTTTTTTACTATATATTCAATATTATGTCATAAAAAAATGCACAAATTCATAGTTTTAGAAATGAAAATATTGAATGAACTAAAGGGATAAAAGATCGTTATTTTTAGAAGTTTCATTGTCTTAAATGTTTCTGGAACTGGTGATATGATTTATTTCAAAATCTACCCATTGATACAAACATTTTTATATTTTAAGGGTTTTCCGATTTTTTTTTATAAAAGCTTCTAACATTTTAAACAACTTTGAGATGCGTATGCAAAAGAATTAACCTTTTAATTTGATGTTTTAGTAAATTAACAAAAGACAGTCAAGCTATTACATGAATTTTCTTAGAAAATTATTTTTTATTTTTTTTATTTGCACTTGGCAACAGCTTGCAACTGAAATTTAAACACATTTTTAARAGTTTTGGAATAATAGAACACTCTGAATAGTTGAAAAATAATTTATTAAATGTACTTTAATGAAGTCATTATTAATAAATGAAAAAATTGATATAGCTACATAACTAAAAAGATTTTGATAAGCATCACCTCATCAAAAAATTTTAAATAAAAAAAAACATTTGGTATAAAGTAGAAAAAAATGTATATGTACAGGGTGTTTCACATAATTTTACTAGGCCTGCGRCTGTAAGATGCAATAAATAATACATATTCCGACACAAATTCGATTACAAATTTTGAATAATTGGATAATCTTCTCTAGTTTGTTCACCCTTTAAAAAATTACGTTTTTAGTTAGTGAWTAAGATAGATAAACTAGAATCATATTCATGRCGTCTCTTGATAGAACAAACAAAACAATTATTGTTTCTGAAAAACTACAGTTTATGACTAGTGTAATAAAACAGTGATTAGTTTGACAACTACTGTCATGGGTTTCCAAAAATTAAATAATTAAATGTGTATTTTTTGTATCTAGTGTTTTGTGAATTTTGTATATTTGGGTGCGTACATTAGGCGCAAGCCTCATAGAGTTGTGTGAAACACCCTGTATTTATTTACATTTGTGTTATGTTAATATTCCATTTTTATTTTTCCAGAAGGGATCTACGAATTTCTTATGCCATGCGAATAATTCATTACATTCATTTCAAAGAAATTTCCCGACGAAAATTGGATAGTATCTTGAATAAGATCTTTCAGGACCGCAACTGCGAATGGGAACTTTACAAAGTGATTTTATCAGAAGCTTACATTCAAACTAACTCAAATAAAATTACATCCAACTCAAATTTACTCAACTCGCGTGGGATGGAATTAGCAGTATTAAAAATCGGAGGTTTTGGAATCAGCGGAATAACAAACGAAATCACTTATTGTTTTTCGAGTGAAAGAAAATGGAAACATTTGACAACAATCCCTCACTTGGAACAATGCAATTTTGGAACAGCTGTACTCAACAATGAATTATACATCGTCGGGGGCTGTTTCAACCAATCCTTGCAGGAAAATATCCACCCTTTTGGGTTCAAGTACAGTCCGAGGTACGATAAGTGGTCAACAATGTCTCCCATGAAGATCGAAAGGTGTCGCTTTTCATTAAACGTCTTAGGCAGCATGTTGTATGCAGTAGGTGGCGCCAGTGAGGTTGATGAGTATGGCACAAGCACTTGCGAGTGTTACGACCCCGTGCTCGATATGTGGTACATGATAGCCCCCTTACCGGCTCATATCACCCAACATGCGGGTGCGAGTTATGAATACAACCTCGATTTGAAATTATTTATCAGTGGTGGCATGGATCGCGACTCAATCCAGTCATCCATGTATTGTTACGTTGTAAATGAGGATAAGTGGCAGCAGTGTGCCCCTCTGATACGGGCTCGAGCTGACCACGTGATGTTGTCAATCGGGGACTTTTTGTACGTTTGCGGGGGCTGGACCGAGGGTCCTGAAGGACGATCGAGGATTTTGGTCGATACGATTGACGTTTATGACATCAAGAATGATCGCTGGGAGGTCGTAACGACTGTACCAACGCCCCGATACCATGCGGGGATTGTTTGTGTTGATCATAAGATTTATTTTATTGGAGGGTTTTATAGTGACGATATGTTTGATAAAAGTACAGCGGCCATAGAGTTTTATGATATTGAGAGCGATTCGTGGACGACGGAGGAAAAGTATCCACAGGATATATGGGAACACACGTGTGCCTCTTTGTTTATTCCCAAGTGGAGGGACGATATGCAGGATATGCAGGTTATTGCCAAAACGGAAAGTACGGTTTGAGTTTTTGTATTTTTTTATTTGTATGTGTTTGGATTTTGAGAAAATATATTTATTTTGTGAATTACACCGATTTTTATTTTTATTTGCTAACACAATATTTGTAATGTATGAAAATAATTTGACCGAATTGGAAAGAACTTATGCACACAGCGGTAGAAAATTTAAATTATTATTATTTGATTAATCAGTTCTAATCGGATCTCAAGCTTTTAGTTCTCTGTAAAAAAAAAAACCCGAAGGTTGAATTAATAGAAATCGTTTTAATTTTATTTAAGCCTCTTGGCAAAAAAACACGAAATACATACCCCACAGCAATTATCGCATCACATATACCTATTATGTTTATACGTGTAAAATTCCAACTTTAARTTAACTTTTTTGGTGTTATCTTTCCGAGAATGAAATTATGTGAAATCCATATTGCACATATCAACATAGGGAGTTACAGTCATTGATTGATTCGCTCTGAACTATTGTAGTGAACAACGAGATGGTTCTGCAATCTCTTGCGAACAGTCAATAAAAATTAACAAAAGCAGTGTAAAAATTAATTATCACTCTAAACTAGTGTTGAAGATTAAATTTAGCTTATTTATATGAAATCTTTGCAGACCGATTTTCTTGAAACATTATGAAATAAAATACATCAGTCAAACCAAATTTCCGAACATCACGCTACGAAAAAACAATTGACGGCCTGAGGAAGATTCAATAAAGAAATTGAAACGTTGCCGAAAAATTGTATTTATTTTCAATAATCACTCCAATAACAAGACCAAACACATTAGAAATTAAAATGCATTACGATACATTACATTTTAATTTTCGTACTGTAAAATTTGACATATCGGACTTATAACGTAAATTACTATTGGTACTATTGAAATGGTTATTATTCAGTCAAATGAAAAATAGGTATACTCTACTCATCTACTATTTGTAGTAGAAATTTTATTTTTTATAATGTGATATATCTAACTTTTTTTAATAATAAAAAATAATGTTAAGAATATAAAGTAAAGGGTGAATATAAAGTATGGAACAAAGCGTTTTTTTTAATCATTTGTCTTTAGAAAATAATAATTAATATAAGTTAAAGTAATATAAAAAACGTGATCGTAATTTGAGTACGAAATTTGGTTTTGTTTTTGAGTTTTATGTAAAAAACAATTTCTTATTACATACATACAGGGTGAATATAAAGTATGGAACCAAGCGGTTTTATTTTTAATCATTTGTCTCCAGAAAATAATAATTAATATAAATTAAAGTAATATAAAAAATGTGATCGTATTTTCAGAACGAAATTTTGTTTTGTTTTTGAGTTATGCCATTTTTTTTTGTCAAAATTGCATTTTATGTGAAAAATTTTTTTTCAAAAAATTAAATATAAAGTAGATAGTTATAATCCTTAGAGTGTAGCTTTTATGAGAAAAATGATTTTATAGTGGGTTGCCATTTCAAAAAAATATGTTTCTTTGGAGAACTCAAAAACAAAAAGAAATTTCGAAAAATTTTATTCTTGTTAAATCATCACATTTTTATAGTACTTTATCACTCATCAATTAGTTTTTTCAAAAAATAAATAGTTTAAGAAAAAAACGTTTGGTTCCATACTTTTTATTCACCTGGTATAAAGTAGATAGTAGTAATCCTTATAGAGCAAGAGCCCGCGGTCGCCAGACCTTCGTCATTTTACAAAAGTTGAAAATTTGTCAGCGCATACTACCAACACAGGTAGGAACGATGGGCAAGTATGAAGTTTGGGTTATCGTGGCTTTGGGAGATAACAGGTAGCAAAGAAGTAAAAAATACCAACTTAAATTTATCGAATAAAAAAGCGTAATTTTATTTATATTTTCTTCGGAATAATATTAGAAATTACTTCACCCATTGCCAGACACTTAATATCGTGGCAACTCGTTCTCAGACACCCTTAAACTTTAATAAATTGTAACTGTACTTACGTTATACTATAAAAGCTGAATCTTATACATGTTACATRTATTAGAAGATGTTTTCTCAGTAACCAGACAGTTTCGACAGTTCTACCCTAGGCCAGACAAACATATAGGGTAGCTATAGGCCTTCCATGATGATACTTTGTCAAAACTGAATCACATTTATTTTACTTAAAATTTAGAACTTAGCACTTAGAACTGTCAAAACTGTCTGGCTAATGAGAAAACATCTTCTAATAGTTACCCAAGTAACATGTATAAAATTCAGCTTTTACAATATGAATAACGTAAGTTACAATTTATTAAAGTTTAAAGGTGTCTGACAAGGGATTGCGACGAAGTTAAGTGTCTGGCAATGGATGAGGTGATTTCTAATATTATTCAGAAGAAAATATTAAAAAATTACGCCTTTTTATTTGATAAATTTAAGTTAGTATTTTTTACTTCTTTGTTATCTCCCAAAGCCACGATGACCCAAACTTCATATTTGCCCATTATTCCTACCTGTGTTGGTAGTATGCGCTGACAAATTTTCAACTTTTAAAAAATGACGAAGGTCTGGCGACCGCGGGCTTTTAGAAAAATGGTTTTATAGTGGGTTGCCATTTAAATTTTTTTTGTAGATCTCAAAAACAAACAAAAAATTCGAAAAATTATATTCTTGATTAAACATCACATTTTTATAGTACTTTATCATTCATCAATTAGTTTTTTCAAAAAATATATAGTTTAATCATAAATCACTTAGTTCCACACTTTTTATTCACCTGGTATGTTTGAAATGTATGCGCTGTTTGCTGTTTAAATCGTAAAATCATTTAAATCTCGTTTTAAACCTATACAAAAAACTTTGAAATTGAATTTTTGGGGTCAAGTAGGTTATACCTGTATCTTTTATGTAAAAAAAGGAATTCGGGTTATAACTGGATATTTGATAAATTTAGGGCTAAAGAAAAACTATTCAAGAGAAAAAACAAAGAATAAATGCCAGTTCAAGTTTATTGAAACCTGTCAGAAGTACTGAAATTAAATATCTTGCAAATTTACGTTTTCCATTTGTGCATTTTTAGTTTCACACTCAAAATATACATACAGGTTTGCTCTATACTTTTCTAAAAAATTTAAAATTTAAGAGAAAAAACAATAATCTGCATTATCGACTGAATTCTATCTGGAAATCCGGTAATTGCGAAAATCGTTAATAAAATAATATAATTTGTAAACCATTTCTTTACTAAAAAAATAGTTTATCAGTTGTTACTGTTAGAGTTAGAGAAGTGTATCAGTGATTTAAAATAGGATTACACTTTTCTGGTTAGCAACGCAAAACTCGCATAATTCCAAAATTTTAAAATGAAACAAAATGTAGCGTTTTTTGAAAAAAAATCTTAAAAACTACGGACAATTTTATTCTATGATGCAAATTTTTATGTAATAAATTGTATGTTGTTCACAAAATCTGGAATTCTAGAAATCACAACTTTTGTGATTCTTAAATTATTAAAATACAGCTGAATAAAACTTTTCCCAATTTTCTTTGTGGTTAGTAATCGAATGACGTTAATAATAATTATATGGGTAGTTAAGTTTTAGGTATTTGAACTTTATTAATTGAAAATTACTGATAAATCAGATCCATAATTTACATTATCGGATTTCGTGTTTTGTATACTTTTAGATGGCGCCACCATCTGTCAAGGAGCCCCGCGCAAGTCAAGCCAAGTCAAAATACTTGAACCCCAGAAGTGGGGAAGTGGCGCAGTCTCAGTGCGGCTCCCAATAAGCGGTCAAAATCAGATGAGTCTTCGACGGTGTAATTCGGTATCGGTAAAGCTCTGAGCCAGTTGAAAATTCAAACTGAGTAAACTGTCCCGTGCCTGTGGCTCTCGCGTCGCCCCGTGTCGAAGCCCACTCTCGAGACCGTCTCCATTCGGTGCTTGTTGTCACTGCACCGCTCCACACCAGTTCAATAACATTACAAATGAGCTCTTTGTGCCGTTAGGTGTCTTCGAGTGTTGATGTCCGGTTGTAAAATGCTAGGTTAGGTTCGTGAAAAATCACCAAAAGTGTGGTGTCGAAGACAATTTGTTCGATGGTGAAATCTGTGGATTATGCGCTGCTGATGGAATACGACTGTTGGTGCATTGCCCTGTCGATAAACGCACAGGTTGTGCGGTTTCGGGATACTTCACCTCAACTATAATGTCGGGGAGTCATATGAATAACGAGCAGGAGCACAAATCGCCAAGGGAAAGTGGCGAGGACTCTGAAGACGAAAGCGAAATCCTGGAGGAGAGCCCCTGCGGCAGATGGCTTAAGCGGCGAGAGGAGGTGAGCCCCAATTCTGAATTTATGCAACCTAACCTAACCGATTAGCCGGCGACCATTTTGACGGTGGTGCGCCCGAGGCCGCATGCCCCGTCAAGGGATCGATGTTGGCGCCGGCTCCACCGGAGGGCCCTCTGAAGGCCTCCGAATTCGCGACACCGGCAGGAACCACTGCCGAATCGAAATTATTCATTGCTACTGCTTGTTCCGAGTTATTTTTAGATTTTTCAAGAACTATGACCTTCTCGGTATATATAACCGGTTTATCATAGGAATTTCGAATTTCCATTTATTTCACTCTTATTACAAGTTCTAAACCAATCGTAGGAAATTAAACCCTACGTCAAACAAAGCGATCGACTAATGCAAATTTAGAACATGGTAKATTTATTTTTCACAAAAAACGTTGGAGCCAAACTGAATTTTGTTTATTTTGAACATCTTAAATCAAGGAATAATTATTTCTATTAATAAAATTAGTTAAATATGTATTATGTTTGTCTTCTCAGCTGGTCCGGTCATCAGTCGACTTCACCCAAAATATCTAAACTCAGACTGTTGCATATTATTACTGCTCGAAAGATAAATGTAACTGAAAGTTCATATGGCTTTGAGTCTTTGACTTCAACGTGGATCCCATTCCTTATTTTTTATTACATTAAACTTTTTTTATGCAAAATGTTTGCAAAAATCACATTGTGTTTGGCGATTAATAATTTTACGAGGAGCAAATTGAATTTTTTGGTTTTTGTAATTGTTTTAATTAAAATATTTTTGTATTTTTCAAATAAATGATTGAGAGAACCTGTGTATAGTATATAGCTTGTCTCAGAAGTCACCCCATAGCCATAAATGAAGTCGAAATGAATGAATTAGAAATCATACAAAAGGTAAAGAAATCGAGATAATTGACTTCTTTGCTTTGGCATTGACCGTGTTATATGTTTTCTTTTAGAAATGCTCAAATGTAATGTCACAAAATCGGTCTCTTTCAAGTCAGATCTTCATTTTTAGAATTATGACTGTTATGAGTACAGCGAGATCAAAAAGACTTATCAAGCAAGCATAAAAATTTATTTAGAACGCGTTTCTATGGAAGATAAAATGTTCAAGTGACAAAATAATTGAGAAATGTCAAAATAGTTTTTAAATAAATTATGACAGGAAACCGTGGTATACGATTTGTGTATGAATACATAAATACCAAACTTTTATTTTAATTTTTATAAAATAATTTTTTGACAGTTTCTAGCACATATATTTTTGTTATGTATTTTTGGGCCAGACTGGGAACCTGCACAATGCGTTTTTTTTTTTCGCACTTCAAACAAACATATTTTTACGTTGTTCTAATTTAAGTACAAATAAAATCAGTTATGAAATTTTTTATGGTTTTGTATCGATTCAAGACGTGAAAATATTTACATTGAATATTTGCGTGTTGAAAATACTATGTATCGACACGTGGAAATTTAAATTAAAAAAAGATCAGAACTGTTGATAAGACTTGGTGTCATTTATTTTATCGCGACTTTTTTGGCTAGAAATCAACACTATCTGCACAAATTACATTAATTTTAGCTCGATTTCGTTGAATTGAAATGTAAAAACAATAATTAGTTCTAATTATAGTAATATGTGGAATTATTTTTAGAACTAAACTTTCTTATCACAAATTTGTGTTGTCTGAGTGACACATTTTTTTCCTTCGATTTCTTCGTATTTTATTTTAATTTTGTTGCCAAGTGTGTGCAGCCTGCAAATATTTACGATAGTGATACAGATTTGATAGTTTATGTGGGTTTGCTATTAGATACTATCGAGAATTCTTTACTTGGGTCTTCATAAAAAGGTTTATTAGTCACGTGCCGGTCTTTACCCCACCATAATCTTTTAGTTTTATGGTTTAACATAACCGTCCGAATGCCAAGTTTGTGATATCACCGGATAGTCAATCGATCGTCTTTGACCATAGGGGTCAGTTTGTTAAAAATTTAAATTAATTTTATTTATGTTTAAGATTTGAGCTTTACAATAATTAGCAACACGTATGTTAGTCGGGACGTTATCGGTTAATTCGTTTCTAATAACTGTGTTTACAAATAACTGTTTACTATGACTAATCTTTGGGAGGGATTTATCATTTTGTAGTAAGGAACACAATGTTCTTGGATGAACAGAAAATCGGCACAGATCAAGGTGACTGCAATAAAATAAAAGCAATAAAAGTCGGCGTAAAATTGCCAACTTCATTTTAAGTTTGTGTAATTTTTTTCGGGAGAATTCTTGGCAGAAATAGTTAGATGTGGTCATGTTTTCCCGCGATTGTCATTTATCTTAAATTCTATATTTACGCTGATAATCTGTTGCATTATCTATAACTGTTAGTAAGGCAATTGACCTGTGATTTTTTTTTTCTCAACTAGTTCCAGTATAGGAGGTTGCACAATTAATCATCGATTGATACAGAGATAATCATCTGAATTCGGCTTCTATACGTTAATCTCAAAATCAATTACCTTATTCGCGAGTATTTCAAGGTTTCTACAAAATTCTACAAAATTTCTTTCTAGTAAAAATAGAAAKCGTCACATTTAATTGAATCAAGGTTAATTATGGTTGCATCAAGTTATCTAGATTTTTTCGAAGAAAACTTTAGCATGTTTCTTTCAATAATTAATTGCAATTTGATCTAATTTGCGGAACTAATTAAATGTCTTCATGAACGTTGTCACGTTTTTTCAATAATTGAATTTGGGCGTGTCTCATAAATTTTTCAATTAACTAATCAGACGTTATTTGATAGAACTTTATTGAAATTGACGCCGTTTAATTGTGCAGATTTTCCTAAGGAAATTCTAAACCATCATAAACCGCATCTAACGTAGAGGAAACGTTTATTTAATTTTTCCGACATTACTGTGATAGTTTGTGGACATTAATTTTGGTGGGGAGGCATTCAACTCGCCAGAATTCCATGGCATAAATCTCTTTAGAATTCATCTTGTCTAATAATACTTTCTTGGTGAGGATGCAAATACGAAATTTGCTCATTTAACCTAGTGAAAGGCCACTTTAAAAAAATCTATGTAACTACTGTAACCCATTTTTCTATTCAATGTTTACCGCGAAGGTTTCGTCTTGATGGCTTCATAAATAGACCAATAAAAATTCTGGCAAGAATCATTTTACCTCTGATTTTTTTCAAGAACAAGTAACACTAACCTTGACCTAGAGGCCTCGTCAATCATTTGTCGTGTGAAGGTATTCTAAAAAAAATGTAGTATTTTTTTTCTATTTTCACTTTCGCTCGGTCCTTAATTATGTTATTTTTACGTTTATTTACATTCGAGCCTACGTTTGATCCAATTTCAGGTGTGGTTTTTGCGATTCCGTTTCCGGTTCAGAATTAAACCGAAAATTTTCGTCAGCCAAGAAAATGTCCAGTAAATCGTGATATTTAAGAAAATTACATAAGAACGAGTATTTTCGGCAAAATAAACAATAATTTTTGCAAGATGTTTGGCGTATTGCCTTTTATTTTTCAAAGGATATGGTCTGTTTGTGGCTCCTTCGAGGGGTTACACCCAACTTGAAAAATCTTTTTTCTTAAAACACTTTCATGTTGGTCTGGAATATAATTTTGACCCAATTATTATTTTTCTGTTCGTTGTCATCGAAGAGCGATAATAGTCAATAACCAATATTTGACCAAGTTAATTTATGTAGTTGAATTATAGACCAAGTTCCTTGGAATTGTTTGTTTAGACAAGATACGCGTTGATGGTGTTTTTACGATTGTTTAAATTCCGGAAACAACGACGTCATCTGACTTATCAACAATTTTATGTGTAAATAACAAAATTCCACTTCTGTTTTAAAACTCTTGATTATTATCTATTTTTAGAAAAGAAGTTGCAACGAAAAATTCTTCTGTTGATTGTTGTGTTACGTAATTGTGGCCGATGCCAAACCGCGAATTTTCGTGCGTATCTTTTTAAGGCGGCTGTGGAATGGCGCCCGATGTGGCGCCAAGCAAATGTTTCATGTGGCAAGTGCGCATTAAAACAATTTTAAATAAAGATTCGACGTACTTTTTCTCTACATAATCAAACTATTAAATAATTAAAACTATTATATTTATAATAAGTATGCAATTCAGGCCACACATGTTGGGCGCCTATTGGCGCTCGGCGTCGCATCATCGTTTTCAACAAGTGTTCGACTAGACGCTTACCAGCCGCTCTGGCAGGGAATCGACGCCCCCTCGTCCCTCGACGCCCACGGATCGGGCGTCGCGACGCATCGCCGCTGCCCTCTGTCGGACGTCGTCGTCCACCAGATGTTTCTTTCGTATTCGATCGAAAATTTTCTTTTTATCGTCGCCGTCATCGCGGGGTGGATGATGCGTCTGTCGTAATAATGAAGTTGAAAACGTAAGGTCCGCATTGCGCTTGTTTCTACGAGGAGAATCGGGGGTATCAGGGAAATCGTTACGGGCTTGGTTTTCGTTTCCTGTGCCAAAATGTCGAGTAAAATCGGATCGGTCTCGAGGGGCTGCTATTCTGGACACGTTCTTTTCGTAGAAGAGGCTTTTCACAGGATGAACGATGTACGATGTACAATTTTTTCCGGGGGAAATTGTGATGTGATTTTTATTCAGAGTTTTGCCTTCAAATGTCAATCACTTTTTTTTTTCTATGCGCATTTAATTAAGCCTGGAATTTCAAATGTCAATGTCTTTGGGTCATGATTGGGAATGTTCAACTTGTTTTGGGTTAAATTTTTTTATCTAGTTTTTTTAAAGGAATGTTTAATAAATATTGAACAAATAGATTAAACCGGAAATGAAACATATTTCTGTAAACAACGGATATGAAATTTACTTCTGGAATTTATATGAATTATGTTAGTCGTGTTTGTTTAATTGTTGATCATTTATTGTCTAAATTCGCAAAAGGAATAGTGAATCATCGTACTGTACTGTGGCAGTGGTATTTCCT